AAGCCTTATAGTTAGATAACATATTTTGAAATATGTAACAGCTTGATAGATATACAGAAAGGAAAGTTAAGATTAGGTTAGATAGCACTTTGATGTACAGGAACTTGTATGTTATTTGTTGATATAAGTATAGAGATTAGAGTGTTTAAATAAGTAATCTCTTAGTAGATTGCAGATATGGCAGCTAGTATACAGTAAAACCTGCTATGCCACCAAAAGTTGCATATATAGTTAGTTGTATACTTACCTTATATAAGTTATATAATTATAATTTAAAATACAATAAAGCCAATAGCTACTAATAACTATGGCCTTAGCAAAAGCAAAAAAAAAATAAAAAATTATTAGCCTTAGTAAAAGTAAAAAAAAAAATTACTTGTTTGAATATATAATACTTATTATAAAAATACTTGAATTATTTTTAAAATTTGTTTTAATCACAACTCTTTTTGATAATCCCTTGAACCAAACTTTCCAAAAAGCTGAACTACAAAAAAATGATATAGTTAATATATTAAACTTTATAAAAACCTTTTTGGAGTACTGTATACATATTGTTAGATATTAAAATAAAGTTAAAAAAGAGTTGCAGTCTTGTAGTAATAGTTTAAAGAGCACTCTGAAACTATAAAAAAAGTAGTCAATAAAAGCCAAGATTTCTTATCAAGTAAACAACAAAGTTAGATATATTAGTTTTATATAACTATAAAACCTATAAGAAACATTCACAAAGGTTAAGAACTTATAAAAGCTAAAAAGTTAGTTCATCTAGCACTTTTACTTTTTTTCAAAGAAAATTTTGTAAAAGTGAATAATTCAGTTTACTCTTTTTTAAAGATCAACATATAAAATTATCAAAATAGGCAGCAGTGTTACTTTCTAAACAAGATTGTTGATAACATAGATCAGAAATAATATAGCAATACAAACATAACTATAGATATGCCTTGAGTTGCTAGAAACCTGTTAAATACTGCCTCCAAATTAACAAGTATCTTATGCCAACATTCTATAATAAAGTCAAAGTTCTTTTCTTCTTTTTAGTTTTTTGTTTAAATAATCTAAATAAATAAAAAAATAGTAAAGTAATTTTTATTTAGTATAGTTTATAATTCTTACAAGCCTAGCACAAACTTATAATTATAATTGTCTAATATCTATAAATTGCAAGTTTTATGTCTGACATAGATTTAAAATTGTAACTATCTGATTTTTTATAAATTGCAAGTTTTACACTTTTTTTTTTTCTTATTTATCTTCTTTTTATCTTTTTATTTCTTATTTTGTATCTTTTATTATTTACCCTTATATTATTTTTTTTTTTTATATTTAAAATCTTTTTTTGTTTTTTTGTTTTTCTACAAAAAGATGTTATCAGATTAGTGGTATTCTATTGTAAGATAGCAGTTAGACAAACAGTCTACCTCTGTTTAGGATAGTGTAACAGATTGCACTTAGATACCAATAAGATAACTAGGTGATGCTGAACTTAAGTATTAAAAAAATTCGTTGTAATCTATATAATATCAAGAATTTTAATAAAATATTAGCATAACTGCTTAAGTTAAAAAAATTTTATTTTAATATAAAAAATTTTTTTTTCTTCTTTGACTAGTCTTGCCAAGACCTTTTAGCATATCTATTGTACTTTTCAAACTAATGTTCTTAATATATTTTCAGTCACTAGACCTTGATCTCTTCTGGTCTGTACTTTTAAACTTTTTAGAAGTGCCTGTTATACTGATCTCTGCTAGTATCAGAAGGCTTTGCCAGGCTTTATCAAGAACTGACTGTTGCTATAAGTTCATGTAATATCTCTCATTATTAGACTTTCAGCCTCATATTATGTCTTATGACTTCAGTTATTTCAAATTGGATTCTAACTCATATTTGTCACTATGTTGCTTCTCAATTACAGATTACTTGCTATTTCTAAAAATAAGTCTATTCTTTGAATGTCCTAAGTCTCTAGTTTTATAGTATTGCAGTTTTCTATTTTTGAAATACATCTCTACAATTGCCATCACTAGAATTCGAACTAGCAACTTTGCAATTTGTGATTTTGAAGCATAGCTGCTATGCTATCAACCTTAAAGGTAATATAAAAAAATTAGATTGTAATAAATTTTATTTATTAATATAAAATATCTATAATATAAATTAATAATATTTGTAATTTTTTTTTTTGATATTAAGATGATCTCTTGAGTCTTTTGACTTTATTTAATAATGGTAAATGTAGTTCAGTAAACTACTACAAAAAGAGCATAGAATTAGCTATATATGTAACTTTTCTATATTATCTATTTAAGAAGTTTATTTAAAGGTTCTTTATCAATTATTATATCTAACATTTCTACTTGGATATTCTACTTTAAACCCTCTAAACCTGCAAACCTGTTAACTTCACTAGGTTATATCTGATGCTCAGATTATTGTCTTAACCTTAAGACTATTTTATTCTTGAAGTAAACCCTCTAGTATCTTCTGTACTTATTTTTATAGCTAACCTAAGTATTATTATAGCAAAACTAACACTTGTGATTAGGACTTAACTATTAAACTGCTATGTTTTTGTAAAGTTCATTTAAACCTTAGTATTTACTTCATAGCATAATTCTAGTACTTTAGTATACCTTTGTCTTTTTATCAAACTCTTAATTCAGATAGCCCATATAGGACTATGACTAGTCTATCAGTATATTAGATCAGTCTGATATTTTTTTTCTTTAGTTTATTTTGATGACCTGATTGGTAGTACCTCTGAGACTTTCAATCTGGAGGTTCTTGCCTGTTCAGCTATTATGACTAAGTACTACAACCTTGATATCTATTTTCCTAAGCTAGCTTTACAATAGGGCTGTTGAAGATTCAGCTACCTCTCTACTCAGATCTTTCTAAATAGACTTCTTGTTAACTAATTTTAATAGATTTATATGACTACAAGAACTTGTCTAATATTTGCACTACTCAATTGCCAGTTTGCATTCTTTTATATAACTACAAATCTTGTTTCAAAGAACAATATTATATGAATGTTATATGATTGTCTCATAACCTGCTAGTCATGCTGATACAATTGCTATTACAGATATTTTAACTTAATCATTAGTAACAGTTGCTATAATATGCATTATATAAGTAATTATCCAAATTTTCACTGTTAATAAGATTTGAACATCCAATCTATTACTTGCAGGGTTGACAACCTGACTACTTCACTAGGTCATCACATCTTTATATTTGTAAATTTGAATTTATTTAAATTTATATAATTTATTTAAATTAATTTAAATTTAATTTATAAAAATTTAAATTTTAAAATCAAATTTAATTCTAAATTAAATTTGAATATTCTTCAAAAAAATATAAAAAACTTTTTAATATTTTAACCAAAATATTAATTTAGTTTAAAATTATTAATATTTTTAATAAATATATTTTTATATTATTTTTTAATTATTTAATATAATAAAGTTTTAATACAATCTTTTCTTTCTAACTCAATTCACTCTAAAATTAATTCCTAGTATATACAATAGATAAAATACTAAACTAACCTTTCATATATTATTACAAACACCCAAATCTAGGTAAGCCTTAGCCACTTTTGTTGGTTTAGGTTGCAGATAAACTAGTCTGAGCTTCTACTTTTTTTATAATATTTTTAAAAGTAAATTTATGTTTTATGTAAAAATTTCAAATAAATATTCAATAAAGATAGAGGCATGGCCTTACTATTAATATTTAAAAAAAAAAAAGTTTTAATACAACAAAAACTAAATAAAATCTTAATATGTATAATAAATTAAATTTAAATTTATATTATAATAAATATTTACTTAATATATATAATTCTTAATTAATAAAACTTACAATAAAATAAATTTAAAAATTTTTTTTATTATATACTCAAAGTATATATATTAAAAATAGAAATATAACAACTTAGCAAAGTGAATAAGTTGTCAACCTTTCAGGTAGTAGTAATAAGTTTAAAATCTACTAATAATAAAAAATTTAGAATATTATTTATACAATTATGAGTATCATAACAATTATTTTCTAATAATTAGTTGAAATTAGATATTTGTAACTATAATTATACTAATATAACTAACAGGTTATAAAGCATTTGTATAATCTTGGTTATACAAAAGAATGCTAACTAATACTAAGCAATGCAAACTTAAAATAAGTTCTTATAGCTATATAAATTTGTAAAACTGAAAAACAGAAACTTATTTGAAAAAATTTAAATAAAAAGGTAGTATGAATTTTTAATAATATTACTATAAAGACCAGATCTAGAAAACAGATATTAATATAAAAGAATTATGTAGACAAGAACTTTTAAATAAAAAGTACTACTAACTAAACTGTTAGAATTAAACTAGAAAAAAAAAATATTGGATCAAACTTAATATATTAAAAACAATTTATAGTTTTACCAAACTATCTAGATTAGAAATCTAAAAACAAAGCAAAAATATATTAAAAATACTAAGAATATATTGTAAAATAGATGTTAAAGTTTAGGTGAATTTAATTTTATTAATAGTTTATAGAGCAAGTAGGTTAGTTAACAAGAAGGTATTCTGGATTTTACAGTTAAATAATATGTTTTAAAATATATAATAATCTAACAAACATACAAAAAAAAAGATTAAATATTGAATTAGATAGCATTTTGTATATGAGAACCAGATAATTACTTATTTAAAAAACAATATTTAGATGTATAAAAATTAGATAATTATTTATTTAGATGTAGCATAAAGATTAAAATATTTAAATAGATAATTTTTTAGTAGATTATAAGTATAACAACTAGTATAGAAACTGCAAACAGACTACTTAAATAAGTAATTAAAAGTTATATATGTAACTAGTTGCACACTTACTTTGTGTAAGTTATATTTAAAATATTAACTAAAACATAAATAAAGATAATGACTATTATAATATCAGCTTTAGTAAAAACAAAAAAAGTTTTTTTTTTAATATTTTTTCTAATATAATAATAGTTAAATTTATTTTAATTTTCTTGTATTCTTTTAATAATAAATAAAATCACTAATATAATAAATATTTAATTAAGGAAAAATAATAATTATATAATATTCATATTAATAAAATATAAAAAGCTTATAATATAACTATAATGTTATTTAGTTTAAATTTTTTTTTAATATTATGTTAATAGTTTTTATTCAAAATATATTTTAATAAAAATTTATAAATAAAAGAATATAATAATATAATAAAGATATTAACTTCCAAGTAACAAGTTTAAAGTTCAAATTTCAAAATTAATAAAAATTTAAAATTTTTTTGTATTACAGTCAACTGTCTTCTGTTATTAGTTAAGATAAAATACTTATTACTTATATCATATTAGAATGATTAAAAGATTATATAATATTTATATAAAAATTATACCTTATAAAAATTATATCTTATAAAAATTATACCTTATACAAAAAAATACAACTAATACCAAGTAGTGTAAATTTGTAATAAGTTCTTGTAACTATATAAATCACAAAAACCAAAAAGATAAAAACCTACTTGAAAGATCTGAATAGAGAAATAATCTGAACTTTTAATAATAATACTATAAAGATTAAATCTATAAAATGAAATTAAAATTTGTAAAACTAGATAAAAACAAATTAGTATTTAAAAAGAAACTGTTGTAATCAACTAAACTGCTAAGATCTGTTTTGAAAAAAAAAGTTATATACTGAAAAATATATAAACTAAAAATATAATTGTATTTATCTTTTTAGATTATTTAAACTAGGAGCTTGATAAAACTTAAATTAAATATTAAAATAGTAAGAATATATTGTAAAGTAAATATTAAAGTTAAGATAAATTCTATAAGAACATATTGGTTTAATAATATGTCTTAATTATAAGTATTGGTTTTAACTATAATGTTATCAGATTAACTGTAATAATGAAATACAAAAAATTCTAAAAGGTTTAATACAAGATCAAAAGTTCTTTATATAAGTAATCTATTTTAAAAACTATATAATTATAATATATTTTTACTAATATTGATTAGAATTGTTGATAAGTGTAAGTAAATGAGCTAATACAAGAACCAAAATGTTTAAATAAAAAACTTATAAGCAAGTTCCAGATATGACAGCTAGTATAGAACCTTTGAACAGATTACTTAAATTAGATAATACCTAAAGTTATATAAGTAACTAGTTGTATATTCTTTTCATAATTGCCACCTGTGATTGTAATGCAACCATTAGCTAAATATACTATTAATAAAATTCTGGATTACAAGTACTCATTTTAATATTTAAAAAAAAAATCTATAAATGAATTATATAACTTTTGACTTAACAAATAAAATAATACTTGTCAGATTTGTTTTAATATACTTTTTAAGTAATAACTCTTTTTTTATCAATGATCCAATTTTTTTATTTTAAGTTAAAAACTGAATCAACTATAAAAAAAATGACATCTTTAATATTTAAAAAAATAAATAAAATAAAATAAAAAAGATGTTACACGAGATGCAACAGTGCAAACAGAAATTTCAATGTTACGTTTTGATTTTTTTATCATTTAAAAATTTTAAAAACTCAAAATGGCAATAAATTTTATTTGGCGGGTTGAGCGGACCGGCAAAAGTTTAAATTTTTAGGCCAATGTAGATCCCTACTTTAAAGTATACACTTTACGTCATATAAAATTTATTTATAATCATATTAATACGTCACGTCAAACGTCATAGTATATGTTAAAACGAACTTGAGGAATGTTAATTTTTATTTATTATTACAGTTTGTATATGTTTTTACTACGTATAACATTTGTCAATCTATAAAAAAAAATTATTATCGTTATGAGAATTTACTATATGACCTGCACTATGTTTGTAAATTGATCGATATGATACATCCTAGCATGCTATGATGGCATGGCCATGACCATTGTGCCACATCCTAGACCGAACCAACAGAATAACTCGAGTTCTTTTGATGATGGTACAATTATAATCAAAAGAACTCGAGTTATTCTGTTGATAAGATCATAGTAAAGTGCCGGATAATTTACTATTATTAATGGAGGGTATTATGAAAGGAAAGGTATATTACATTTTTCGTAACAACGTGCGCACGTACGTATTAGACATTGATGCTATCTATGATCACTCAATTCATGCAACGCAATCACGTCACATAACCCAAACCCCGGCGCTACGAATTAGTTGGTACAGTCAGACCTCTCTAAATGCAATGCGACGGGACCATATATAAATATTTAGTTCAAACGTGCATATTAGTTGGGCCCAAGAGAAGATGTGCATTTAGGGAGGTGCACTTAGGGGGATGCATTTAGGGGGGTCTGACTGTACTATCGAACGTGTCGAACACACACAGTGTATTACATATTAGCAAAGCAAAGAAAATAATAATAAAGGCTTATACAAAGGAAAATTTTTAGCAAAATTTTTGCGATAGTCGTATGGTAGCCTCTGAAAGTTTGCTAAATCCAGATTAACGAGATTGTTGAACATTTATATAAATTAGTAAGAGAAAAAAAAAAGTTTATTTTCACAATACGATAATGTCTTAAATTTTATCTTTCTACGTAATAGTATCAGATTTTTAGAGGTTACATATTCAACCCTTTTGACCCAAGTTGTGAATTTTTGACCCGGTTTACTATAACCCGGTTCTAAACTCTACGATGTTATGGTTACCATAACATCGTCATCGTCTAGTGTTATAACTTCAGGCGTAACAGTCTTTATAACTTCAGGCGTAACAGTCTTCATAACCTCAGGCGTAACAGTCTTCTATTTATTTGGAAAAAACATACTCATTTATTCACAAATAAAATTTAGGTATTCGATAATTTTAGGCCTACCTCTTTTTTTTTTGCAGGTTTTCCAAAAGACATTCTTCCCGAAACTGACGGATTTATACAAGAGAAATAACTTGGGCAATATTTGATATTTATTTTACTTCAATGCAAATTTGATAATGCATTAAAAAACAAATTGGCTTTTAGAAATTATTAAACAATGACTTTTTTTAAATTAAACATACGGTTTTCCAATTTCTACATCGTCATAATTTAACCACCATTGAGATTCACCATTAATTGCTAGATGTCTAGCATTTTTCATCAGCCATACGAAGTTTTTGTTGCGTCCGTTGCATAAACTAAAATATTTATCATATTCGCCTTTAATATGGTTATTCCAAACAAAAACCAAAAGAATAAAAGTATTTAAATGTCAACCTTTAATTCCAATAAGTGATCGGACAGTTTAGGCTTTTTCGTTAGACGTTCGGTTTCCATCGTGATTTTAGAAAAATTTGCTTGATTTCTTTTTTTTCTCTATTAGGTGTAATATATATTTTATTTTTTATATTGAGATAGTGATAAAGCTCTTAGGTGTAGGGTTATAGGAAGAAGTTCGTTTGACTAATTTATGTCGATCATTTGTAAATAAATTTTTTATTTTGTAAAAATATGATTGGTCAATTCTGTAAATTACGAAATTACTTCTTACGATAAATATCACATATGTGATGTGATAATTAACATTGTACTGTACATACACATGTATATATATTAGAACAGATATCAAAACAGGTGC